CTTCTCGACTTTGCACATAATTTGCTCCCGGAGCCGAATGCCCTCGGCGGGGGAGCGCGCCAAAGACCAGCGCGCAGCATCCAGGACGTCTTGTGGCAACGCTGTACTGCTCTCGAACGGGGACGACCCATCCTGTGCAGCGTTTATCACGAATTCGACAAAAGGCTTATCCTCCGCTCACATGAAACCGGCAGACGAGAGATTCGCAAACGCGCTCACGTCGATGGACGCGTTCCCATTGCAACCGATCGCTGACACCCTCTCTGCCCAGGCGCAATCTGGCATCCCGCCGGGCACGTTGCCCGAGACGCCGTCACTAGTGCCTGAGCCCGATGGCAACCGGGTAACCGGCCGCGACCAGACCAGCTACACGCGCGCGCAAAGTGGCGACCTCTGGGTTGCCCGCACGATCCGCGACTCGCGCGCGTTTACTCGCGCCATCCACAGCCTCCGAAGGCGCGAAACGTTGCGAGACCCATGCTGCTGGGCGTTTGTTGCCCGCGCGCCTCTGGCGGCTGCGGCTGCGCGAATGCGGCGGCCGGCGAATTTGACGCGGGTAAGCCCGCGCCGTCTTCTTCCTGACATGTGCGATAGGAAAAATTGCTGAACCACGCCGGTCGCGCGCAGCGCCGCGTGCCTGCACTACACCAAAATTGTCCGCCACGTCCCCAAGCGAATTTGCAGCCTGCATTTCCTGGACACGCGCATCGCGAGCACACCGGCGCTGCGGTCCCGCGGCAACTCAGCCGGCGCCTCGGGCGAGCCTTCGATGGCGTCGTCTGCTACCCCCGCGGCGCGGCGCGCTTGCCAAGCCTGGCGCGAGAAGGTCGCGCGGCCGCGACTCGCGAGCGCTATCGACAAAACTGGGCCACCTGCGCGGGATATAGTCAATGCGACGTCTTGCGCCGCTTCGGCGACGTGACCGTTCTCTCGTCCTTCTTGTGGCCCCAGCCGTGGGTGCCCCCGTGCCAGCCCTGAGACGCGATGGACCGCTCCCACTGGTGGCGCTTCCCAGCGCCCTGGCTGTCCGAGTGACCGCCCTTTGGGGTGGACTTCCAGCCGCCCTTGCCAGCGCCCTTGTGGTTGGACGCGACCGTGCCAGCTGCCCTGCCAGTGGTTCCGCCCTGCCACTGGGTCCCTTGTCAGATTCGCCGCTGTCGTAAATACCTTCGGCGATACTCAGCAGTGTGCGATCGATTTTTCCGACCGCCTTGCTGAGCTTGAACTCTGGATCCCCCGCGATCGCCCTCTCCGCCCAGCTCTTGCGGGCGACCTCGTCGTATATAAGCGCCAGATGAACGCGTCGCTTCTTTGCCCCCGCCTGCGCGAACTGCTACGAAGCGCGCGCGCTCGCGCACTGGCCGCGAGCATGAGCCTGGCTGGCCACAGTCATCACTGCCTCCTGATGCTGCATGATCGCATGCGGCGGGAGCTGGCCGAGCGCCACGGCCGCCACTCCGTGCCTGCGATTTCGCGCCCCGCGACAGAGACCGGCTGCGGCGCGGCGCAGCGCCTCTGCCAAGCAATCGCCCAGCTCGCGATAAACATACCCTTCTTGGGGTCGCTCGCCGGGGCGGCGCCGAGAGCGCGGGCGAGATCCCTGACTTCTTTCGAAGCCTCTGGCTCATCGCCTGCGCCATACGCGTCGCCGGGGGTCATCCAGGCCAGAAGCCAGTGCTTCACGTCTGTAAAGACACATGGCTCAGCAACCGCGCGTTTCTCTAACTTCCGCACCTCTGAGGCGAGCCAATCGGCCATTTTGGTGCTGTCGCGAACGGAACCGCGCGCGCGCGGGGCGCCGAACCGACGGGCGCGCCTGGGCCAGCCAGATTGCGGCGAGCCCGCAAGCGCTGGCTGCTTTGCGATCTCCGCCGCGAAGTTGACGCGCGCAATGCCCTGGCGCGCCGCGCGCTAGACCGCGGAAGCGCGCCGGGCGCGACGCCCGGCCTCCGAAGACGCACTGGTACTGGGCCGCAAATTCTGCGCTGCTGAAATGCATTTGGCCAGAAACGCCCTTTCTCCTGCCGTGGCTGCCCTGTCGCCTTCGAAATCCAACACTTTCGCTTGCGCAAGGACCTCGACCGCCCCTATTTCTTGCCGCGTGCACAAACAAGTCCGCGACGGCGCCCAGCCATTCGGACGGCGCTTCTTTGAGCGACCCTTCTTCCACGCAGTCAACGCTGACGCTGCTAAGAAACTCGCGCACCGCGGACATCGCGGGAGATCTCGCAAAACGCCGCGCGTCGGAAGCACCGATCGCAAACTCTGCTGAGCGCGTCGCGGCGGTGCCGCGGAGCGCGGGCGGAGTGCGAACGTAAATGGCGCTCATCCCACAGAGGCCAGCAGTAGGCACAAGGGGCATTGACTGCGGGGACACTTGAGGGCCCGCCTGCCCAGATTGGCCAGCTGTATAGACCGTAATGCGCACGAGAGAGCCCGAACCACGGAGGCCAAGTAGGCCTCAGGCACAAAGACCTGGACGGGACACTTCATGGTCCGCCAGTCCGCACTGGCTACCTGACGGCCATGGGCAATGCGAAAGAGCCCAAACCACAGATGCCAATAGTAGGCCTGAGGCGGGTAGACACAGACGGTGCACGAACCGGCCCCTTTTAATCCGCATTAGCCAACAGTAGGCCGCTGCGAAAGCGAGAGAATCCAAGCCTCAGAGGACAAAAGTAGGCCTGACGTGGAAACCTTGACGGGACACTTTACGGCCCGTTTGTCCTCATCGGCCAATAGTAGGCCGCGGAGAAGGCGAGAGAGCCCATTCCTCAGAGGCCAGTGGTAGGCATGAGGTGGATAGACCTTGACGAGACACTTTACGGTCCGTCTGTCCGCATCGGCCAATTGTAGGCCGTGGAGAGGGCGAGAGAGCCCATTCCTCAGCGGCCAATAGTAGGCTTGAGGCGAGTAGACCCTGACGGGACACACACACACACACACTGGTCCTTCAAACCGCAGTGGCCAATAGTAGACCGCGACGAGGGCGAGAGAGCCCATGCCTCAGAGGCCAATAGTAGGCATGAGGGGGATAAGCCCTGACGGGACACTTTATGGTCCGTCTGTCCGCATCGGCCAGTAGTAGGCCGCGGAGAGGGCGAAAGAGCCCATGCCAAAGAGGCCAACAGTGGGCCTGAAGCATCATGACCTTGACTGGACCCGAAGTGGTCCGTGTAACCGCACTGGCCAATAATAGGCTGCGGCGAGGGCCAGAGAGCCCATGCCTCAGAGGCCAAGAAGGCTTGAGGCGGATTGACCCTGGCGGGACGCAAGATGGACCGCCTGCCCTGGCAGGCGCAGGGAGCAGCCCAGACCCCAAAGGGGGCAGGCCCATGGGCCGCAGAGGAGAGCCAGTTTTCGAGCTCGGCAAGAACGGGCGAGAAAGGCTGAGGGGCGGAACCACCCGCCTCGGCGGTTCTTCGCCCCTCATGATAGTATAGCCACGACACGCCAACCTGGAGGAGGGAGGGGGGGAACGAACCTGCACGCAAGGGGGGGAGGGCGGCGCGGCGAAATCCAACAGGCAGCGGGCCTGCACGCGCCCGCGGCAATAGCGATCGCCTGCGCGGCGCCGCGGCGCGCGCGCGCCACCGACGGGCCTCGCGCGCAGCTGCGAGCCCCGCCTGCGCAGCGGCGCAGCGACCGCGCGCGCGCTCGTGCCCCACCCCGCGCGCGCGCGCCTGCCGCAGGACGCGCACCGCGCGCGTCGCCTGCCGGCCGCGCGCGGCTTCCCGCTGCCCCCCCCGCGGATTGTGCCCGCGAACAAGCGAGCTTGTGCGCCCACATCATCATCATCATCATCATCATCATCATCATCATCATCATCATCATCATCATCATCATCATCATCATCATCATCATCATCATCATCATCATCATCATCATCATCATCATCATCATCATCATCATCATCATCATCATCATCATCCGGACACCGGCGGGACACCGGCGGGACACCGACGGGACACCGCGCCCCACCGGATGCCGGAAGGGAGTCATTTGGTCCGGCCGCGCCTCAGCCACAGCGGGACACCGGCGGGACACCGCGCCCCACCAGTTGCCGGAAGGGAGTCATTTGGTCCGGCCGCGTCTCAGCCACAGGAGACTTTCTTTTCGCCCGCCCACGCAGGTTCGCCTCGCCCGCACGCACGGCACGCACGAACACGAAACCGAAATCGATTTCCCGGTAGGGGGGCTCTCCGTTCCACTGCGATCTCACCCCCTCACCTCCGACTTTCCGAACTCCTTTGATAACTTTGCCATCGCTGTTTCCAACATGCGTTTGCGGAAATATACTCCTCTACTTTTCTGAGTCGGAGATTCAGGATTCGTGATCCGCATGTTTGAGGGTGCAGTTTCGACACAACACTAGATTGGAAAATGTCCAGTGGACCCGAAGTGAAGGGTCCATCCCTTGAGATGCGACGTTGCGACAAGTTGCAACACCGCGGACAACCAGAGCCCGCTGCATGCCCCGAGCCGGATCGATCCGTGATGGCCCTGGGGCCCGAAATAGGGCAAAGACGCCCGGCGGGAAAAGGAGGAGGAGGAAGAGGAGGAGGAGAAGGAGGGGGAGGAGGAGGAGGAGGAGGAGGAGGAGGAGGAGGAGGAGGAGGAGGAGGAGGAGGAGGAGGAGGAGGAGGAGGGGGAGGGGGACGTTGCGAACAAATCACGAGGTCGGAGGCCTGGGAGGACAGGGCGCGGGGCGGGAGCTGCCGAGCGGCCGCCGAGCCAGTCGTGCGGTTTATGTTCACGACGAGAGGATGCGGGGGCTTGCCTGTCAGTTGTAGTCGTTTTCTTGGCTGAGCATCACGGATGTCGTCATTGCCGTCCTCGTCTCACCGTCCACTCGGGCTCGCTCTCGCACCAGGATGCTCACAGACTAAGACTCAGCGAGACGTGCCAGGGAAATGAGATACACGCATGGGGATCTCCGCGTCGAGTACTTCATGACGAGAGGAGGTGGAGGAATGTTCCGTTTACGGGGCCCTGACGAGGCTGGAGCCACAGCAGAGGGCGGGTCAGTGACCGCGTCCCTTCCGGAGCGCAGAGCCGAGTCGGTGGTCACCACGCTTCCAGACGGCACGGTGAGGTTCACGGCTGGCGCCAAGGCCGGGACAGCGAAGGGGAAGCCGCAGGAGAAGAAGGGGATCTTCCGACGCGTGTGGGACAAGCTCCGGGGAAAGAAGTGAGTGGGGCCTTCTTCCCCACCTTCTGATGCATAATCTCGGCGGGCGGCTTTCGGCGGCGTTTGGTCTCTGAGGGTCCTCTCCGTGCCCCAGGGCCTTCAGAAAACGACTCCCTTGAGATCCGACGTTGCGAAACAGAAATCAACAGTGCGAAAAACACACGTCTGGAGCCCCGGACCCCGTCTTTCCTCGTCATCTTCGAGCCGTATCAGTATGTGAGGGCCCCGGGGCCCGAGCCTGAGCGAAAAAGCCCGCTGTGAAAAATTGCAACGCCAGGATCTCGGGGTCGGGATGAAAAGCCGCTCCCGGGGAAGAGGTCCAGGCCTACCGGGGTCCCTATTGCGAGAGCCAGCACGTCATGTCGGAGCATTGGGCTTGGAGCAGCCCTGCGGCCGTGGGCCGTGGGAAAAAACTGCTTGGGAATGGGAGCCCGCCCCGGGGAGTCCTCCTCCTCCTGGTCCAGTCCTCCTCCGCCTCCGCCTCCGCCTCCTCCGCCTCCGCCTCCGCCTCCTCCGCCTCCTCCCTCTCCTCCTCCTCTTCCTCCTGCTCCTCCTCCTCCTCCTCCTCCATCTCCTCCTCCTCCTCCTCCTCCTCCTCCTCCTCCTCCTCCTCCTCCTCCTCCTCGTCCTCGTCATCCTCGTCATCCTCGTCATCCTCGTCCTTCTCCTCCTCCTCCTCCTCCTCCTCCTCCCATTCTCCTTCCTCCTCCTCCTCCTCCTCCTCCTCCTCCTCCTCCTCCTCCTCCTCCTCCGCCTCCTCCTCCTCCTCCT